GACATGAATAACATTTGATCAACACAATGTTCGGATATTATAACAGTTTGCGGTGCTTACTGTTTATACTATGCGTCAAACAAGTATCTCACATGGTTCAGAGAAAAAAACAAACTACGAACTTGGAAACTGACAGCTAGAGACATGTATGAAAGTTACAATTCTCTCCTTTAACTCTGTCCGCGACAACTACTGACACACTTCAAAGAATTGTGGTAATTCAGGTTAATCTGACGTCTAAAGGTTAACGAATTAAAATGCCGGCTGTAAGCGTTCTTTTCTGCTGAATATCCCTAGAATCAAAACAGAAACATCATTGGACAAAGGGCCAAGGAAAAAGGAAGACTCGTCCACGATCTTTATATCAACTCAATAGAAGTCCATGGTCCCTCAAACAGGTCAGTCTGTCTGATGGCAAGTTCAATGTATAGATCTGAGATATATCTCGAGAAGATCACAAAGGTACCAAAAGGGTATACATGTATTTGGAAACACGATCCGATTTTTGGCCGCTCATAGTCTGATGTCCATATATAGCGTCACGTCATTTAAATGTCACAACCGTCGCTTTAAATTATGCTAATCAATCGCGCGTGTACCCGGGAAAAACAAAACCTGACGAAAGAATAACGATTTGCAACTTTTCATCAAAATACCTCTTACCTATCCTCCTCATGCCTCGTGGCACATTGGGCCTTCTTTCATCCAAATAAACCATACGTAAAAATAAATACGAAACACCAATAAACGTTAAAAATAAATCTAGAAAATTTCACAACAATAAAAAAGTCTTAGCGTGGCAGTTCTTAACAGCGCGCATCTTCTACTTTTCAATATTGACAAAAACTTTTCAGATACATATGTCGCCTCACAGAAATCAAAACTTAAAACTCACCCACCTGCTGAAGTTAGCAAAACCGCTCATCGTGTTCTCAGGCTGTTGGTCGCTTGTTAGATCTTTTCCCAGCCAGTCTTTCCCAGTGCTGCTCCTTTCTTCTCCCACAACT